TGTCCCTCAGCTGCTGGATGCATATGGAAAAGAAAAAGTTTCTGGAAGTGTTGTCCCAGAGGTCTTTCCGTGCTTGGAATCTGCATGGGTGATGTTGAAACTCTTCAGCTCTGTTCATGTGTCCAGACAAAGCTTGTGTGTGTGATCACTGCTGCTATCTGCATGTCTGTCATCCCGTGGTGAGCCAGCTGTGTAAATGAGCGCTGCAGTGTCCTTCTGTACCGATGGCTTACAACTCCTCAAAGTGTAATGAAAAGCAAATGCACTGTCAGCAAAACAGGTCTCCTCATTTTTAGTTTGATAAACAAGATATGATACTGCAGTGCATCTTTTACATTGATAGATGGGGCTGAAATGAGACTCTAGCAAGCAAATTGGGTATTAATTTTGTCACAGCTTTGCCAATTTTTGGTGTTTAATCACCTTTTAAAATTCCTTTTATATATTAAAAAAAAATCCCAACCAAACAAAAAACAACTAAACCATTTAAAATGCTGGTACATGGAGTAATAATTTTTTTTAATAAAATATTGCTTTGCCAGGGATGTTGAAATACTCAGAGGTGGTAGGTGTACAGGCTAGTGTATGCTGTCAGAGGTTGACATTTATTTGCATCCTGAAAGGTGTTGATTTGCTGGCTGATTTCTTGCTGCAGCTGCACCAGAAAGATGTTACTAAGTATACAGACTCTATGAACTTAGTGAAATGCGAAACCTATTAAATCAACTTGAGTTAAAATCGACAGGAATTGTTGTCTGCTCATACAGCTTTCTCACAGGTAAAGGGCCAGCTGCTGCAAGCTGATGTTGAGCCACATGAGGGATTAACTTAAAATACTGATTAACTGTGTAATGCAGGTAAATATTGAGAATTCTAATATTTGCTTGCCAGTGGCTACTGATTTTTTTTAACATTAATTTGTATGTGTTTCTTGTCTGCTACTTCAAGAAAATAGCCCTTCCAGTACCTTCTTGCTAAGCAGACTGAAGACCAGAGGAACTTTACCTTCTGGAAGTATTTGCTGGTTAACAGTTTACTTACTCCAGCCAGAATACTTTGGTTTGGTTGCTTTGGTTTCTTTGTGCTGTAGCATTTTCTGCAACAGAAATTGTATTTAAAAGAAGAAACAAGATAATCTGTAAGTCCAAACAGGGTTACTGTGTAGGG